AGAAAGAATTAAATGTACAAAGCAAATGACAGAACAAATCTTCTCATTACAAGTCCTAAATGTCAGAATCAGTTGAACCTAGTATAGAAACTAAATATTTGGCAGACATATAATCTAAAACAGAATTTGGGACTAAGCTACACAAGCTCGATCCACAAATCATGGCAGAAATCCAGAAAACAGACATATAAGCCTAGGTAGGATAGTTGGAGAATCCAATCTTCACCAAATCTTCGAGACAGGCTTTGCTGTTACAAAAGTAAAAAGGGAATCAAATAACTTATATCAATTGAAACCCAGATTTTGTGCAGTTCAAACAATCGCACTAAAGCAAGTCTAAAACACAAATAAAATCCAAACTTTACAAAAAATCAGGAAGTCATGTATTTACAGAACTAATCTTGTTATCCCCAAATGGCAGAATCAAGTCATAATAGAATAAAGTCTCAACATTGCAAATAAAATCCAAATCAGCGCAAGGTTTCTACTAACAATTACTATTAAGATTTTTAACAAAAAAAAATCGTATCTTTTACAGTATAGTGGAAATAAATCTGAATCCAGAAAGTAATGGTATATTCAATCAAATCTATTGCAAAGTCAATAAAAAAAGAATCAACAATCGTCTCTAAATCCAGAGGCTATTCTAATTATAACAAAAAAATTGGTTCAAGCCCAAAAATAAGGAAAACCCTAGATTTGAAGGAGCCTATAAATACAGAAAGAGAAGAAGAAGAAAGGGTCGGAAAAATTAGGATTAAGAAACGTACTTTACGATTGGAAGAAGAGAAGAAAAATGAATTAGGGTTTCAAAATCTGAAACCCTAATCGTATCCTCGCCGCTAACTCTCCAGACTTTTCTCGGAGCTTCCGTCATCCTCCAATCTCCAATCACGCTGAGAACCTGCAAACAAGGAGAAGAAGAAGGATTAGCGGGTCAGAGTCGTAATCTCAGAGAAAGAAACTGCAAAAAAGGGGTAATATAAACTTAGCATTTTCTCTTATGATTTTTGTTCTTGTGTTATTGTTGGTTTGTAGAAGGGTACTAGGTTGTGAATATAGCGCCGCCGATAGATTCTAAGGAGTTGGGTGGATGATCGACTAGGTTTCTTTTTTGGGGAAAAAGTTGTGAAGGATAGAACGAGAGAGAGAGAGAGAGGAACAGTCTGAATGAATTAAAAATTATAATGATGCAAAACAAAAAAATTGGTTAGTGTTGATGTATCCTGTGCACGCGCGATCACCGTAGCTAGCATGCATCTTAAATCCCATCCGCATGATCATCAGTGGACGACCATGAGGCCGAGTCCACTGTAACATCCATACTCCCTCACGCATTCGATCACCCGGGCCTTCCCAAACGCATAGTGGGCCAAGCCCATTCAGACTTACACCCCCCTCGTCTCTCCTTACTAAACAGAACAATAGTGTGCACCCCCTGTCCAGATTTTGTTTTGGGCTTAAAGCCCAGATCACTTTCAACACCCCCTATTTTACTTAGAAGCTAGATTTACACCCCCTGCCTAAATCATTTTCACATTTTTTTTATAATTAGTATTTTCTTCTTATTATTATTGTTATATTATATTTATCATTATTAATCGTAATAATTATCATTATCAGTAATTTTTTATTAATAGTATTATTATTTATTATACGTAAATATTACTATATCACTAAATAAATTTATTTTTATATTAAAACTGCATATTTCATTTTATATATTATTTACATTAAATTATTTTCTATTCATGCATTAATCAAGACGTTTTCGTTATTAATACAAATAAAAAACACAAACAAATATCAAATTATTTTCGCAAACAAATTAAGCTAATTAACAATTCCTTTTTGCAAATGGGTTTCAAACTAATTTTGGCTTACTGCGTACTCAGTCAAAATTTCCGCAATCACTACTCCCGACCGAGTGCGAAGTGATTCAAAATATGTTCGTAAACCCCTAAAAAACACCAACCCATACGAACTACGAATTGGGACTCTGATTTCTCGTAGGAGGATACGTAGGCATACGATCAAAAATCATGGCGAGTCTTGCTAATTAAAACTTAAAACCCTATCTACCCTAAACCTAGAGCTTAGTATCCTTATGAACAAGGTGGATGAAAGGTGCCTAACACCTTCCTTTCGTCTAATTGAGTCCGTAGCCTAGAATCTCTGTCCGCGAATTAGGGTTTTCTGTTAGGTTCTCTTCCTTAGAATAAAAACTAATAGTGGCGACTCTTGATTAAAAAACCAGTTGCTACACCTTAGCATTTCGAAGGGACTATCATCATAATATCACTTCTCGTAGGCAACTCGAGGGACATTTAGGAACTATGATCTTTATGATGATTTTAAGCTACGGTTATTTGCTAAGAGTATCCCTACGTTCGAGGGACATGACCATTTTTCCCGAAGGCAACCAAGTGAGGTAATACCCTAGGGGTGGAAGTGTGCAAAAGTGTGCTTTTTCAGATATATTTATCTTTGACTTTAGTTATCTATTGATTAATTGAGCATACACGCCTATGTTGCTAACAATTATAAACAAAATATAAAACATAAAAGCAAGAAGCAGAGGCTCTACGCTATTACAAGACTTTCGTGTAGATACATAAGAAATTTGACTGAAAAAATAAAGCGCGGAAATAAAACCCTAATTAAACTATTACAAACCGGGCGCAGTTACATCAATAGTAAAAATTCATCATACGGTAAAAATAATTACGCGTGAGAATAAAAACAAATGAGATGAGTTTGAAACCCTAAAAATCTAATTTGATCATTAAAAATATTTTTAGGATTTTTATGAAAAAAGATTTGAAGTTTTACCTAATTTTTTCTAATTAATTTTAATTAATGAAACAAATTAAAATTGATGAAATTAATTGATTTACAAACATTAATTTATTGAAAAAGGCTAAATCCTACTTTTTGTGATGTTGATTCTATGATTTTATGAAAAAAATTAATTGAAACAAAGTGGATAAACTAATTTAAATAAAACAAAATAAAAAAAGGGAAAAGAGTAAGCCTGAGGGGTGTAAACCTAAATTGGAGGGTGCATGCTGAATTTCTATTCAAAGCCCAATGCAGTAGGCCCATAGCTGCGTGTGATTCAGTGTGGTTGTCCCAGAAATGTCCACCATGGGGAGCTTCGTTGGGAGCATGAGATCCATGCATTGATTGATCCAAGGATGAGGATCTGGGGCCTATTGTGCGCGCGCTTGGAAAGGAGGCATGGGATCTACAAAGATTTATTAGGAAAAATAACATGTAGGAGGCAAGAATCGAACCCCTGATCTCCTACACACACGTGCTGAAAAGCCTTCCCCTTTGCCACTGAGCTAGTTATTCATTCATTAATATAAACAGACAACATGTATTATATATGATAATGGTTAGTGGCTATAAAAAACGCACAAGAATTCAAATGGGCCACTCAGGTTTTGATACGCAATCGTCTTCTTCGTTGAGACTGTCGTTTTAGGCTTTTATAGTTTTGAGCTTTTTGGCTTAGGGAGAAAGCAATCTCAATATAAATAGTGGGAGAAATCCCCTTTTTTTTTAACTGGCTTAGATTGAGTATTCGCAGAATTTACAGTTGCAAGTGAATGAAGTTTTTTCACCGTTTGTGGACAGAGAGAAACTCTGTAGAAACCCTAAATCTCTTTTCTTCTTTAATTTTATTTTCTTTTTATTGTTATTGTGTGGTGATAACAATCTTGTTCATCAAAATTAAAAGAAATTTATCATAGATTTTAGTGAATTTCCAACATCTGAGCATCGGTAAAGGAAGCACTCTTTGGTAGATTGGGCTATTAAATTTCAGTCGGTCTTAATAATATCCAAACATCATTTACTAAAATAATTCAATGACATAGGATGATAAATAGTAATTGATAATCAACCTATTTTTGAGTTCCTTTTCTAAATTAACTTAGGTATAAGAAAACTGCCAAACAATATTGAAAATGATTTCTCTTGAGTAGTCTAATGAATTCACACAATATTTACTTCATTATAAGAGTACAATCCTAACAATATTAGCACAATCCTAACAATATTAGCTGGACAGGGTCACTTAACCGTTTAAATATAGTCCTAAAAGGCAAAAAGCTAAAGATGAAAAACTTCAAATTTCTTTGTTTTTCTAAAGCAGAAGCTAGATGAAAATATGTCCTATTATCCACATTTCAAACTCCATATTTGTTCACATTCCAGCCACCCTAGCCCACACGCTCACATCTCTCTCACATGCTTAGTTCTTATGTAGTGGTGATTATAAATAAAAAAACAAACAAAAGCAAAATAAAAGAAAAAAATATGCAACATTGGTAATCAGTGGTCCATTTGGAATAATGCCTAAAAAATGTAAAACTCAAGCTAGCTATCCTCATTTCTCATTATTTGTTCATATTCACAATCACAGGTAGTGCTGGATTGAACTTTCCCCTATACTGTGGGCCTAAGGAACCCACAAAGATTATTAGCTACAGCAGATGAAGAAACATTGAGATTCCATTCTGCCAACAAAGTAACAATCATGACTACTTGATGTTTTATACGCTCTTGTACTCATACTTCCCTTCAAGAAAGCATCTGAATTTAGCTTTACTTAATTGACAAGAGAAAATAGTATCTATGAAAGAAGAAAGAAAAGGGTACAAAAGTTTTTAACTAGTGTCACCACGACATGTTAAGAGTCTTGCATTAGATGAGATATTCATGACGATATATAAAAGTTTTAAGACAACAACGTAACGTAGTCGTAAAAAAAAGTTAAGTACACAATTTGTTGTCTCTGCAACTATATCACAACTGCAATTAAGCCTAAGTTTGGTAATACGCTGGGCCACTACTGCCGCACGTTTAAGACCTTTTCACAAGGATTTTGAGAAGCTGTTATGTGTAGCTTCTGTCCACAGTGATTTTCTACAATGATTTTCAAGTATTCCAAAAACTACGCAATATCAAGTCAATGAGACCACGAATATTATTTAAAGCCGCTGGTTTGAGGTTCGTGCAGGCACAGCAACAACATTCACAACTAGAGATGAAGCTTCAGAACTAGTTGGATTTGGATACTCAATCAAAGACTGTCTACAAGTAGGACAAGAGGAGTGTGAAAGCAGCCATCTATCTATACACCTCACATGAAATCCATGGTTACATTTTGGCAACACTCTAACTTTCTCTCCATCCACAAACTCCCCAAGACAAATTGGACAATCCGTAGCTGCAAAACTAGTACTACAACTACCTCCTGAACCATAAACAGCTATAGGAATCTTACGCAAAGCACTCTTCTTTAAACCCTTAGAAGCTAAACGAGCAATTGTTTCATCTGGTGTCTCAAAAGCATATCTGTGACTACATCTTAGAGCACACCTTACAATCGTGTTAAGTCCTAATGCAAAAATAAGTGCACAAAGTAAAGCTGCTAAGATAAAAACCATGTTGGTGTCAAAATTTGAATCACCTGTGGCTGTGAATTGCTCTCTTGGCCTATTCATGTCACTTGTTGATCTTGAAGTTGAATCCGCGTCCAGCAAAAGACGGTGTTCACGGATGGCCATTGTGGACTCTGATCCAAAACGGACAATACCTCGTAATCGTAATAGCAGTGTAGCGAACTTGGGGTCGATAAGTACTATTTTCAATAGCAAAACTCAGAATTCTTGTGACAGATAAGATGTGGTTGTGTTGAAGTGTTTTGTGGTTTTAACAAGTTTCATAGGAAAACATGACATAGATATTTATGTTTGGAAATGAAAGCAAGACAACTACTTTGTTGTCTCCTTTCATGTATTATTGAAGTGAGATAGTATAGTATTATTGATTAGTGACATGAATTCAGGGTAGGGAAGAAATTATTGCACCTGATCCCACCTAATCAAAAACAGCACCAAATCCTTCCCCCACTCAACTATAAATATAATCTTTTCCCTTCATTTATTTTTATTCTCATCCAACGTTTCTTGTTAGATTTTCATTAAGATACTAGTATCCACCAAAACACAACAATTCTATTTATAGTTAGTTAAAGTCTGTGCATTATTACTATACCATAAAATTAGTGTAGAAATTTAGCTGTCTTATTTTTCAATTACTTCTAAAAAAATCAACGAATGGGAAGGTAAGGATGATGTTTGTTGCAAATTTGGAATGAGGTTTGTATACACGTGGCCTGACAAGGAGAAAAATTATATGGATTATTTGCCTAACCCCAAATGTAGGTAAGGTCCACTCCATGGCAAATAAAAGGGTCCACAAGTTTAAGTTTTCATCTGCATTTATGATAATTTAGAGTTATGAAGGAAAGAGATGGAATATTTATATAACTTGGAAAGATTTTACACGAAATTGGGATCGGAGTGGAAGAAACAAGCAAGCAACATCAGCTAACTACACTGTTAAGAATCAAAGTTTAATGAAACCTATACTATAATGTTTTTTGTTTGGTCTAGTATTTATGGCCTGCTGTGACTAACATGGGTGTTACTGACTTGAGGGCCCCAACCCACATGCTTATATGTTAGAACTTATAATGAGTCGTGCCACAAAGGAAGCCACTTCTCATGTTAGGTCATATTTTTTCAATAGATATCAAATATATTTGTTATGTGATCATAAAGATTAATCTTTTGATTTGAGAAGAACTATAGTAGATAGCAAGACTGCCTATTGAAAAAGTATATTTAATAATATTGTGTGTTTAAGGTTAAATTTGAACCAAAAAACTTATGATTAAGTCAGAAAAGATCTCCGATCATTTCATTCAATTGCTATCGGATATGCTAGGATATATATTTACATCATTTTGTCAATTTCTTTCTCCAAAAGCTATTTCTATGAGATCAAATACATCTTGCCTTATTTTAAATTAGATGTTTGTAACAAGTTAATAATTAGGTTTTTATATTTATCAAGTTAGTCTATATGTCATTAAATATTTGCTCAATTATCCTTATTTATCAATTTTAATTAAAAATATTTGTGAATGTTTTAGTGCAAAAGTAGTTAATTTAAGACAAATATATGAGGAACAATGTAGGTTATGAAAAGCAAATGATTACTGCTTTGGCAAGAATCTAAATAATTTATAGTCTAAGTTTGTTTAATTTGTGTATTGGTATATAGGAGATGGTGTCGGCGTAGATGTTTGGTCTCATTGTTGTGTTGAACTATAGTTGATGAATATTAATGTAGATTGTGTCAATACAATTTTTTTATCAATATTTAAAAGATTTATCGGATTAAAATGGTGAGTGGAATTTTAAAGCACTCGTTTTCTCAAAATGTAGTAACTAAAATTCTAGCTATTCTCCGTCGAGATGGTTATAGTAGAAATATATTTGTTGTTGGCCAAGTAATAAAAAAATGTGAGTATACTATTTCACCAAGTTGTAAATTAATGTGTAACTTTGATAAGCAAAATGGTGAAGATAGTTGGATGTTAATATGGAAGCTAAAAGTCTCTAAACGAATAAGGGCATTTATTTGGTTGGTGTTGTTAGCTGAGAATTTCGACGACACAAAATATTAAAGAGAAGTGAAGAATGTCGAAGGAATGCTAGTTTTAAAAGGAATATGAAAATATTTCATAGAGATTTCGACCGACCAAAACTATGGAGAGCTTGATTATTTTAAATGGTGACGAAAGTCTTATTGTTGCAAAATACACGGGACTTAAGAAATTTCAAGTTTCAAATTTAAATGTTTCGACAAGTCATGTTGTTGGTTTGACGCTTCGAATTGAAGAAGAATTTGAATTTAAATAGTTTGATCTTATTTAAAAGAACGCGTGGAAGCCTGAAGATTTGAAGAGCATGCAAACATCAAACGTGACACTCTTGTAGAGAAAGAGTGTTATGGTCAAACTAGTATAAACTAAGATCTTTGTGTAGGATTTAGTGTGTTCACTTTTGTACAAATCACTCATATAAACTCGAAGTACCAAGTGTTAGAGAAAAGAGTTACTGAGAATGTACGTATGAAATACCAGTTTTTATTCAAAGTCATTTATCTTTCGAATCAAGTCTTTTATGTTTCATTTTAAGTTTAAGTCGAAGTACATTTACATTCTAGTTTATACTTTAAATCTTTTTCTATCTTTATCTTAAAAGCCTTTGCTTTTACATTTACTTTCGTTGTACTTATCCTTTCGACAAAGAGTAAATATCCAGAAATATTTGAACATTAAAATTTAAACACATGTCCTAGGATCAATCTAGTCGATCGTGTGAGCAACCAAAAATTATATTTGTTTTGAAAGACTAGCGGTTGTTTACCAAATTTTAGGGTAAACAAACGGGCACACCCGGTGGGACTAGTGTCTAAGTTTGTATCACAAATTTTTGTTTTGTGTTATAAGTCTTTCGTTTTAGTCCATTGTTTGACATTGTTGTATGAGATTAAGGAGTGGAAAATTAGCCAAAACTAACGAACACATGCCAAAGAGAAAACACACTAGGAAGATGGTTAACCCACCCAGTAAAAATGGAGAATAACCCCCTCCTTCGACAGGAGGAAGTACGACTTCAATATTTACAACCGAACCATTAATTGTTCAAGCAAGTATGATGGGAAATTCGAGAAATGCTTATAACGTTCCAATTCTATCCCCAGGCCGTACACAGAGTCCACTATTGACCCCAGGGTAACCAGGCGAGCAGAATATGGGCGAAGTTAACCAGGGGAAAAGAATCAAACAACTCAGGGTCTAATAGGCCATACCAAGGGAAGTTCAAGCCCCAAGGGTAGTAATGAGCAATCGAAACCAGGACGCTGACAAAGTCCTTAAATGTGTTCGACAAGATGAATATCCAGGGAAAAATAATCTGGCAGCCATTGTCAAAAGAATAATGGTTCGAAATAGGATAAATATAGGCCTGTGAAGGCCAAACTACACTTCCCCTTTGTCTGAGTATATTCTACAGACTCAATTACCTAGGGGTTAGAAAGTCCCAAAATTCACAAAATTCTCTGGTGACACAAGTGAATCCACTGTCAAAAACATAAACATGTATCTTATTGAGGCTGGGGACATAGCGAATAATGAAAACTTATGGATAAATTACTTCCCTAGTTCGCTAACCAAAAATTCTTTCACATGGTTCACTACCCTTTGAGCGAATTCCATCCATGATTGGACTCGCTTAGAAAGGTTATTCCATGAGCAATTTTACATGGGACAATCGAAGATTAGTCTCAAAGGATTGGCTAGTATCAAGAGAAATTTTATTGATCCAATTGATGATTACTTAAACAGGTTCCATTTGTTAAAGGCAATGTGTTTTACACAAGTTCCTGAACATGAGTTGGTCGAAATGGCCGCAGGCAGTCTAGATTACTCCATTAGAAAGAAGTTAGATACCCGATACTTAAGGGACATGGCCCAATTAGCGAATCGAGTTCAACAAGTGGAATGTTTAAAGGTTGAAAAGGATAGGGCGGATAAAAATAATATGAAAGAAAGGGTTGCGTATGTCGAAGCCTAAAAAGAAGAACAAGAGATCTATAGTGACCCTATAGGTTTTGAAGAAAGTGAAGTGGACTTGGCTGAATTAAAACAAGCCTCACCCTATTCCTGTAAAGTCTTTTCCCCTTCGAATAGGAAAAATCATGTCGAATCAGAGAAGAATGATAAGTTCCCTGAGAAAACATACATTTTCGATGTAACGAAATATGATGAATTTTTTTATTTATTGGTAAAAGATGGCTAGATGATAGTGCGAGCTGCCGCCAAAATTCCTTCGTTAGAACAACGAAAGAAAAGAGGTTTTTGTAAATATCATAATTTTTAGGACATAAAACCTCATAGTGTTTTCTTTTCAGGGATCTAATCCAGAATGCTATCACCAACAGAAGATTAAGGTTCACAAGAAAAGCAAGATGAAAGTTGATACTTATCCTCTGCAGGTGGCAGAGACTAACTATGTTGAACTAGCAGACATTAATATGGTGGAGGCTACTGAAGGCTTTATTACCAAAGACGTTAATGGTAAAACTGCTGATGGTTTTGCTCCAAGTGCTGAGATGGAAAAGGCCACTGAAGGATTTAGAATCAATTTCAAAGAAACCAAGATCACTGATGGTCCTAATCTCGAAGTAAACACGGTGGAAATGAATCAGCATACTGAGGAGGATAAAGTAGAAATCCGCATCCAAAGAAACGAAGACCAGATGAATATGGAATACCCAAAGTCAGGAGAGAATCTGTTGGATTTTCTTGTTCGATGTAAGAAAAACATTATGAATCCTTGATGTGTCCAAGGTGCAGCGCAATATATGATCGAAAGGTTGTAGAGAATTATGAAAGGGTACAAGTTGCTCGAAAGAGGGGCAACTTGAGAGATACCAAAAGTGGCTTCGTATTCGACAAGCAAGGGATCCCTCGAAGGATAAACAATCCTTATCCCTTGGTGAATCGAATGGAAACATTCAAACAACATGCTAATGCTCCAACTGGAAGATGGGTGAAGCCGGCGGAGAATAGGGGACAGGGGCATAAGAAATGGAGGAACTTTGAATTTGGAAGAGGTTCGTCAATTGCCTACAAGAAGGAATTCCACAT